TACACCCACAAAAACCTACACGTGATTATTTGTTAATTTATAAAAATGTTGCTGCCATGAATCCAGTCTATTACTACTTTGACTAAATACGTTCTAATATTTTTTAAATACAATGAATGCTCCTAACGGTGACATACTCTAATTTACTAGGTCTCTTATCAGATCACTATTATTAAATGACAGCTCTACAGGTTTTATAGTCAACCTGAGGGAAACCTAATTGGTTATTCACATGTAAATGTGAAACTTAGATGTGAAGGCATGCCTTCACATCTACATGTTTGCCTCAAGCAAACATGTAGATGTGTGAGATCTTCTTCAAATAAAATGTGACGTCATGATAGACATTATACAGTCCTATTTAGAAGACTTCATAAAACAAGTCCTATGTGAATGTGAAAAAATAAAGGATAAAATCACACACTGTGGGATACACAGTCCCACAGTGTGTGATTTTATCCTTTATTTTTCTGCCAAATGGGATCAACTTATAAAGACCTTTGCTCTAGCCTTAACTTTCTTGAAGAAATCTGTCCTTTTATTTAAGTAACTTGTCATTCTGTCAGTCCATTGTTGCAAATTGTGGCAACTTCCAGAGGGCAGTGTCTTCAGCCTACGGTGTTTTGTTTTGGTTTTTTTTTGTTTGTTTTTTTTGTTTTGTTTTTTCAAAAAAGCAGGAAAAAACATTTTTTATGCCCTCTCATTCTCAGTGTGGGGAGACAAACATCAATCCCCTCTTATACATATATCACACTTTGACAAACTTTGACCTCCCCATTAAGAGATGTCACGCATCTGGTGTGAGAGAGAAAGTAGGTCAAATGTTTTAGATGACTGTGAGACCTAACTTCTCCTCTCCTTTTGTACATATTTGGCAGACAATGGTTGGAGACAACACAAAATTATTCATGTACAAAACAAAGACACGAAAATGAGCGTGACTCACGTCAGGAGCTGACTGGGCCACCAACCTTAACGTTAACTAGCTACGTTATTTTCTCCATGATCAAGCGTAATTATCTCAATCGGTCTCACAGCAGCCATCATTACACTTAATTTCAGCTCATTAACTGCTTCATAAAAAAACAAATGCCTTCATGCGCCTGAGCTGAGCTAAAAGAAGCGGTCTGTCAATTACTCTGTGCTGTCTTTCTCAGCAGCCAATCAAAAAAGCCCATCCAGGTGGCAGCATAGGAAACGCCCCAGGAAGTATGATCCCCCATGGCGGAGGTGATTCAAAATGTTCTCTTTCTCCTGACTTTCGTCTACGAAGGGGTTCAGGTCAGATCTGAGCAGTGTCTGCACCCTATGAACCAGCTTTTCTAGTCTGTAAATGCAGCCCAGTCATTATCCCGTCATGGTGGTCATAAATCAAGAAAACACCCCCGTTGTCATCACAACACCAGAGGGCTTCACAATTTCCCTGTAGACTGGTGTGTTGAAGCACTTCAGTTTAATCGGAGCAGAGGAGAAACTTTTAGATCAAATGAGGAGTTTGTAAAACATTGCCAAAATACAAAGGTCACCATGATGTGGCCGGTCAACACGTAGGTGGTTCACACGCTACAGGATGAGCCTCTTTTACTGACACTCACGCAAGGTTTTATTTCCCACCCAAACTCTGCAGCAAATTGCATAAAGAACATTAGATCATTAATCACCTGGTAGTTAATAAGCGGAGGGCGTTACCTGGCAGTTAGTGAGGCGGCGCTGTCAACACATAACGCCACCGTATCATCGCCGAATGTGAATCACTAACTTTCACGGCTGTTCCATTCTTATTTCGTGCCGTCATTTCATCAGTAGTTGCCACTACATGTGCGGTGGCATCAGCGAAGAAAATGATTTACAGATACATTTGTCCGGAAAAAAAGCTTGTTAGATGTAATGTGTTACGTTCACTCATCAACTTTACATCCAGTCCTGTTCTACCCATCATTTTAAAGTTGTGTTTAAAGAAAACATCCATTTTTAAACTTATTTGAGAAGTTAATTGTCGGACTTCTTAGACCCCTGACACGGGGCTTTAACCTCAGGGTCGTTGCAAAGGTCACTGGTGTCACTTTGTTCGTTAATGCCTCTGGCTGTTGTAACAATTTGTTCGCAGTGTGCAAACAATCTGCATGAAGACTTCAAACATTTTACATTGCATTGCACAACGATCAGCACTGTGCACACTACACTAAACACCATTTAGCAAAGACTGTGTCAATTGAGGTATATTATCTATCTATCTATCTATCTATCTATCTATCTATCTATCTATCTATCTATCTATCTATCTATCTATCTATCTATCTATCTATCTATCTACTGTATCTATCTATTCTAGCTAAGCTCCAATCTTCTTGCTGCAGACACATATACTAAACGTAAACGTAATTTACAATGAAACAGAAAATAGTGAAACCCTCTATTCCTATTTGTTTAAAGAGTATCCTTTTTGCACATCTAGGAACAAATGGTGACCTTTATAAACCAGACATGACTAAAATCACAAGCTTTCGCCCCCAAATTAAAGCGACATTTCATCTAAATTAGACTAATCTTATTGTCTAGATTCTGTAGTAGCATAGAACATAGAACATTCTGGTGTAAATGGCCATTGCTGCTGTGATCTTTATATTACATTTGTTTCTGTTTTATATTAAATAAAATACAATATTTGGACAAAAAGGTTTTTGGTCGGCAGGCTCGATTGGAACAAAGGTCTCTCAGGGTTGCAGGTCCCAGGGCCTGATGCTGGGCTGTAGAGTGGCTGTTTAATTGCTTTCATTTGCACAGTGAGGTTGATTTGGTTGATTAGAGGTTTGCTAACGAGTTAATTAGTCTCCTCTGGTTAAATACTTTGATTATCCACAGACCTACTGATTCAGCACACGCTGAGTGACACTCACAGTGGCGTTGGAGTGATTGGTGACAATCAACTCAACAAGTATGAAAATAAACTTCAGAGAACAACAATGACTAACGTAGAGGAAGAAGAGAACAGAAACATTTGAATTGTACAGGAGGAGCCTATACAGTCGTCTCTACAGTGGAGTCTGTCAGGTCATTAAGCATTCCTTCAGTTGGGATAGTTGTCCAGAACAATTCTAAGCAGGTATCAGTTCTCAGTGGGACAGGGACAGTATAAACCAGGGGTCACCAACCTCTTTGAAACTGAGAGATACTAAAAGAGTACTTAGTAATTCAAACAGCTACTTATTTGATATAGACTTCCTGAACAAAGTAATAATAATCAAAAAGAAATCTAATGTTGCTCCGTCAAGTTCTGAGACATACAATAGCTCCCATTTGAATATCATTGTGTGTAACTGATTCAAAAAGTGCAGTAACAGTACAATTTTGACCCTCTTGTTTGCTAGGTTTTTTTTAGAACATACCCCACAGACAGGTAGTCCATGGGGGCTACTAGGTCCTCCCATTTGGTTACCCCTAGTATAAACCATTACAAAATGCTTCAATTTTGTACATTGTGATCCCATTTAGAGAAAGAAAATGGGCTATGAAGGCCAACACCATCACCTACATTAGACATATCTAAAATGTTTTTGTTGATTTAAATTGTTAATCATTACAGAAGTTGACTAATTTTACTATTGAAACACATCTACTATACTACCATATATGACGTTCTTTGACAGGTTAAAGGCTCAGTTTATTTCTCACACTGAGCCACATCTGTAGGTTGCAGGATCAGTATCTGGATACAGTGGTATTACAGAAAAAACAAATACTAACAAATACTTTATCAATATTTCAACTTTGCCTGTAAATTATTGTCTCTAGCTATATTTATATAGTTTATTCTATGCACATTTTAATTCATGTTTCTGTTTATTTATTTGTTTGTTTTAACACACTGGGCTTAGTATTTATATATTTTTTAATATTGTACCAGCCTCAAAGCAATAAGCTGTGTAAACTATTTATGTTTACTATAATTTATGTTTGATTCATTCAAAGTGAAACAAATACTACAGTCAACGTATGAAACAAAAATCAGATCAAAATGAAAAGTAAATAATACCATAAGGTAGAAATTATCCAAAGGATATAGTACGATGTAGTGGTGAAGTTGAGAGGATGCGTCTGCGTTTGTCACTACATTATTTCTGTCTGAGCACGTAGGAGTTATTTTTTAAATTATCAATAAATCTTAAAAAGCTGTTAAACTTTGGAGTATCATAAAATGATAAGAGTGATGTACCTCGGCCTCGCCTCTGAAGGAGGAGACCTGATATAAATAAGAAGCGGGCTCATTCTTGACGAATGAAATATCGTCACTCATAAGATACGAAAAATATTTATTTTTTTAGTCATTCGTGCCAAAAACAAATCGAATATAAAATAATATTGATTCAAGTGCACAAAAGACAAAAAATGGAAATGAAAAGTGAACGTGAACACGAACATAGCGGAGTCCGCTGTGACACAGTGCGGCTCCTGGTGACTGTTCATCGGCCTTGGTCTAGATTATTCTCCCGGGACTCCGGGATCCACTAACCACGGGCCTAGAGAGAAGCAGAGGCCGCAGTGGGAAGGCGATGAGCCCCGGGAATATACCGCGCCAAGAGCCCAGCTGATGAATGGATAATATTGTTAATTTTGTTTTGTTGTTTGTTTTTAGTTTTATTTTACGTCGTTCTTAAAATGATTTAACCGTTTAAATATTCGTTGGAAGCATTTTTGAATTCGAAAAATAAAAAAAATAGTTTTAAAAGCGTTTCATTTTAAGAATTATTTTTATTAATATTGTGCTTGTTGTAGTTATACCTCGAATTGAAGATGGTTTTGTTATACATTTGTTTATTTTCCCACTTCAATTTAGTTACAAATCCACATTAATTCGTTTGTTTTGTCTTTTTAAACACATAAAGAAAAACATTTACAATGTTGTTCTTTTTTATTTCATTTTATTTATCATTTGTTTCCAAATGTGAACACAGGAAATTAAAAGGCTCCTTTCTTCTTTTTTTCCCCCTTTTTTCTCCCAGCGCAAACGTGTCGTACAGTTAGTGCATTCAATCCAGAAACGGTGAAAAAATAAGATCTGACGGGAAGAAGAGGAGAGAAGGATGGGGATGATGAAGAGGAGCAGAAAGAAGAAGAGGGACAGTATGAGGAGAAGTGCTACATAAGGAGGTGTTGAGGTATAAATCTGTTCAGTAAGAAGAAACAAAGTCATGCAGAGAAGAAAAAAACAGACAATCCACACACATTGTTATTCATTCATATTTACATCAGATGCATAGAATATTTTTTTACATAAATTCCTACAATAATTGTTTTTCTGTTAGTGTCAAATTGATCCAGGACTAGAAACAGCAGGAGGTTCGACTATGCTCTCTCATATTTTCAAAATTAAACTTTTTAAAATTATTTTTGCCCATTTAATAAAAATAAGACCAACGGTGGATATTTTCTATAATGTGACCAACCCTGGAGAAAACGAATGAGAAATTCAATTAAAATAGCCTTGAAAATGTTTTTCTGTTCGTTATGCTGATTTAAAAAAAAACGTATTATGGTGTATTATTACAGGCTGGCTTATCTTAACCAAAAAGGTTCACCAAATGTCAGTTTCATTTAATTATTTATTATTTTATTTAATAAGTGAAACATTTATTAATGTTATTCACCAGGACTGCATGTTGGTAAAACATCTTAAAATACCGACCATATATATGTAATTTAATGAAAAATTACCACAGTCCACTCTGACTGACTGACAACCTTGCTGATGCCAATATTATTATCTATATATATTATTACCTCATCCACTTCCACTGGACTCTGTCTTCTTTTTAGGACTTCAATAAAAAAAATTAAATTTTTAATTTTATCACAACAATTTCTCAAATGTCAAAAGTTTTTGTTGACAGATTTGTTGCTGATGCTAAAAATGTCAACATTGTGACAATATTGTTACAGATCATAGGGGCTGATAACCAGGTTTGTCAAAACTCTGGCCCTTGGGACCATCCTGGTACTTGAAAGAGTTTCTTGTGGCCCTAAATCCGACTAAAGGAGTGTCCTTTATTCAACGAAAGGTAAATTTTATGGACTTTATATTTTTTCTGTGTCGCATATCAGTTTTACAACTGATTTAAATTAAACCACACAGTACTCTGTGTTGTTCCCCATGTAAGTGTGAATTAAACTGTTTCGCTTCTAATGTTATTTTCCCGTCGGTGAAAGAAAATTATTGACATGCTCATGTCTTCAGGTGATTAAGGATTTTTATCTCCAAAAATCATGCACAAAACAATTGCCCATTGAATGCTTTTCTGATTTGAATTTCAGAAATAAAATAAAATAAATGTTTTTGTTCCTGAATCTGAACGTGTTGGTTCAGGAACATACTGAGGATCTGGGGTTCCACTGTTGGTTTGAGCCCATACATAATAAACTACAGATTTGTGTTGGTGGAGGTAGAGGGGCAGGAGTCACTGACTGACTGAACTTTTTTTTCATAAATAAAGATAGTTTTGTCAGGGAGTGTTCCATCAGGAAACACTGTGTTGATGAGGCGAAGATAATAGGCGCTTTTATTTTAGAACACATCAAACATTGCTTAGGTTTAAAAAATAATAATAATAAAAATGTTGAAATGAAAACAAACGTGATTTAAAGTTAATTATTAAAGTTCTCCACTTTTCTGCATCTGACACAGAGGAAAACAACACTCAGTCAATGCTGACGTGGGCGTGCAGAGCAGCTCATACTCTTACAGAGTTCTGGTCAGACGTAGTTCTCTGTTGGAACGACAGCAGCAGAGAAAACGCTCTTCTCAGCAGTTTTTCAGTTTGTTGGATTTGTTTGGCACCAAAGTTCGACTTTTAAATTTTAGTCAACAGCTGTTCTTTCTTTTCCCCGTTCTGTTTTCTCTTCAGTCCAACAGTGGGTCAGTCATTTTTGCTGTCCACTCACGTGACAAGGTTGTTTTTTTTTCCTCCATCGTCAGTAGTTTGTGTGATGCCTTTGTGGACAACATCAGTGTGTTTGCACACACATGTGTTATCTGCAGTCTAGTCTTCACTGATGACGTCCACGTCCTCACTGCTGGCCCCCTGCTGTGTTGCAGCTCTCCAGCGGCTGATGTGCTGACCGCCCTTCCTCTTCTGCTGAGCCTCTGGAGACTCTTCCTCCAACTTTTGACGCTTGTGCTTCGTCCTGCGGTTCTGAAACCACACCTTCACCTGGGCAGAGACACATAGACAACATATTTTGAGAACCAAGCATTTCAATCTCATAACAGAACAGGCTTAATTTTTTATATGAACAATGGCAAACAGAATGGGAAAAAAATAACTATAGATAGTGAGAGTATAGTGCTCTGAGGAATTCTGAGTTCCATCCAGGTATACAGGTTGTTTGTTTTTTTTTTTACAAAAGGGCAGACAAGGATTTTTGTTTTGTTTTAATTTGCATTATTATTTTACCAGGTATTTACAAGGAGTGCCCCGTGCTGCAAGATCATCTTTGAGAAAATAACCAGAATCTTTGTTCCTTGAACCCTGCTTGAGGTACTGTACTTAGCACTGACTGCCCCATGAGCACCACTTGCTGTTTAAACCAGCCTTAACAACTATGCACATTTAGTAAAAACATGTCCCTGCAAGCTAAATTTGCAGCTTTTATAGTCTTTAGTGCAGAGGAGTGAGAGTTTACAAAAATTAGTTTCCTCTCAGAAAACTCTGCCCAACCCTGAGATAAAGCAACGGAAATATTCTTTAGAAATTGCAGTTTTAAGTTGGCGTAAAATTTATGAGCTGACTCTTTTGTTAAATCTGTTTTTCTATGTGTCCCCGCTGGCAAACATGTAGGTTTTCACTTGTCGAAAGCTTTAATTATTACTGTTTTTGGGATGAGGGCCTGCACTGAGACTCTGTTCTCCCTGTCTCCATTGTGTGTGAAGGTGAAACCAATGTGTAGCAGCTGTAATTTATGTCTGATTAATAACCCGCTGACTGCAATTCACTGTTGATTGATGGATACACCCCCCTCCTTGTCCTCCGTCTTTTCCTGTCTTCTGTTGTGAAATGATCTCATAAATAACTGTAGATGATTCAGGTCGTTACACTGGCGTCAGGCCTCACATCACTGTGGCGACCTGATGACAAACACTGTCACTCACGGCTGAGAAAAGCGGAGAGGTAGCTGACTAACATCTGAGTCACACACACACACACACAGGCAAAATCTAGTTGGTGAAGTTCCAGAAGGAATTATCTTGTCTTTTATTTTAACTTTGGAAGAAGAATTTATACCTGCTGTTTATTTTTCATCTTTTTATTAAACATAATCACAGAGGAAATAATCAACATCATCATCAACAATTTAACGCCTAAAAGGTTTCTAGAAAAATATGGATCCATACAATGTTTTTTTTTTTTTTGTTTTGTTTTGTTTTAAAAGCCACACAAATACCGTTTATAGTAGTGTGTTCATCTGCAGTGTCTCCATGCTCCACCTGTATTTTTCTTTATTTCTTTTGCTCTTCTTTGTATAAGTTTAATCAGTGAAAAATAGCCCCAATAGATGACGGTAATAAAATCTTATACAACGTACAGTTGCTATTAGAAACCCAGAAGAAGAACAGCTTGTGGCGCTGGCGCTGCAGACTACGTGGTGCACATTTTGCTAATTAAGAGTCAGTTCCTCTTTAAACCTCAATTGAAGAGTATTTTTTTTATTTTTGTACTCATTCCTACCTGCGTCTCTGTTAGACAAAGCCCACTGGCCAACTGCTTCCTCTCCGCACCGACCACGTAGTGATTCTTGTCAAACGCTCGTTCTAGACGCAGCAGCTGTGATGGAGAAAATGCCGTTCTGATCCGTTTGGGTTTCCTGGAAAATGGACCGTGAAGCAGAAGGTTCTCTGGACTGGCATCTTCACCTGAAACACAGTAAGAACAAGATGCCGTTAGCGGGTTTAAAGAGCAACCTGAAGATAGTTTACCATAACTAAATAAAATATAAAACTGTGAGGTTTTAGCTGCCAATAAAATAAGATTAAAAAAGTAGAATAACAACCTCTGACAACTGCAGACAGATTTGAGTATTTCTTTAATGTCAGAAACCGAGAACCAATGCTATTTTCATTTAATATGAGGAGCATAAGAGTTGTTTCTGCTCACCCTAGATTCTGAGGAGACAGTTAGCAAGTAGCTAGCTGCTGGTAACTGGCAACTATTAAATTATAAAAGTTGCATCTGTGAAACACATCTGGTTCAACACAATAGCATGCTAATATTGTGCTATGTTCTTTGTGCTAATATAACAAGCCACCTTTTCTGGAGGACGTGTGTATACACTATAGGTATAAAAATGGTATTAATCTGAGGGCAATCTTGTGTTCATTTAATGTGTTTTTATCTGAAGAAAAGTTCTACCATTAGTCGACATACTCCAACAGAGTTACAGTGAATTATGAAGCTGTGCCAATGAAAACAAATACAACACAAAGAGAGCAGGATTACGGCTGACAGCTCCGATGCTCACGCAGTTATTGTTGGAACCAAGCAGATAATCCAGACTTTTATTTGCAGTGGAAGTAACTAAAGCTAAAAATGGTTGTTGTATTTACAATAGTCAGTGAAAGGTCTAAGGTCTGCTGTGTTAATAAACCTCATGGGAATAAAAAGCTTAGGAAGAAAACCTCGAACCGGTTAACACAATATAACCATTCATTTGT